TTAAAAAAAAATAGTGAATTAATCTGCATAAATTGGAGTTCTTCGTGAATGTAAAATAAAATACTTATCTTTTACACAGAAAAATGCAGGGTCATAAATTATTTGCATTAATTTTTTTTGTCCTATTAACATTTTTAACAATTATATCATATATTATCATAATTTTGAGTTTACAACAGTAACCATTATAGTACAACTATCGTCTATGAATAGTCGAATTGTGACTTTTAAAATTATTTCTGCTTACGTATGCATATTTAATAATTAAAAGATTAATATTTATAATTAATATTGTAACTTTGAACTTATTATAAAATTTGTAATTTTTTTTTTTAATTTAGTAGATATGAAAAGAAAAAGATGTTCAAAACTTTAGTTTCAGTGCTTTCTCATTTATTAATTTAAAGTGGTATTCTCTCTAAAATTTTTGTATTATCAACAACGCCTAATATTGATGACCCACATACGAGATTTTCACTAATCACCTCTTAATTTGTATGGTTTATATAATATTTAGATGCCAAAATTTTGTCTTATTTTTTTAGTGGGTCAAAATAAAATAAGTGATAATTATATATACCATGGTTCTTATATAAACATATTCTCTATTACCCTTTCTTTTTTTGATAATTTGTATTGGAGATTTTCACTATTTTTAATTAAAATAAATACAGTTTTATGAATAAATTTTTTAAATAATAGTTTGTTCCAATCATGGTCTTAATTAAACTGAGGAAATCAATAGATTAATATAGTGACGTTGTGTTTATATAGAGGAGTGAACATTGCCTGTTCAAATTTTATTAGTATTAGAACCAGGTGTTCATGATTCTACAATTAATATTATATATATATATATATATATATATATTCTCTCAAAAAATATATGTCATATGCGCGGAAGTAATCCCCTGCTGCTGGCTTTTGATATATTTACATACATATTATATACACCTATATATATATATATATGTAGGGCTAACTAACTACCCACCGCCCACTTAGTGGAATATAGAATGAATATGCCTTCTCGGCGGAATGGTATTCTTGGAAGTTAGCTTGATTTCATTAATGGAATATTAATGGAAGTAGCTAGAAGCATCTAACTCAGCTATATCGATTCCATACATATAGAAACCCAGAAAAACAGACAATAAACTTTTTTTAGCTTATATATAACATATATTAATCCTTTTGAGCATCCTTGCAGATCCAACGTCCTTTTCCCTCATACAGTTCTTGTACATATATGTATATATCAATTTACGGTCAAGATCAAGTTGTACGTACAATGGAAGTCGTTTCAGAGACAAGCAGCATTTGGGTAAGTTTGACAATCGTTTTGATAATTGCGTTTTGGAAATATTATCATAAGAAGGTGTCAGGTGGCGGCGGAAGAAGGTTAAAGCTTCCTCCAGGGAGCTTTGGGCTGCCATTGATTGGCGAGACGATGAGTTTTGTGAAAGCTCACAAGGAAAGTAAGATCGGAGAGTGGGTGGATGACCACGTGGCGAAACATGGGTCGTCGATTTTCAAGACTGTTCTGATGGGCAGCAAGACAGTCGTGATAACAGGCCAAGCTGGTAACAGATTTATTTTAAGTGGAAGTGATAATGGGATTGCGGCTAATCAGCCGGCTTCTGTGCGTTCGGTTCTTGGTAAACACAGCATCTTTGAGCTTGCAGGAGGAAGACACAAGCTTGTTAGAGGTGGAATGACGAGGTTTTTGGGGCCGGAAAGTATACAAAGATATGTTGGTCAAATGGATTCTCTGGTCAATCAGCAACTCTCTCAGGTATGATCCATTGATACCCTTTTTCATTTTCTAGGATAGATTGTGTTTTTCTGAGTTAGATTATGTTTATATGTATCTTCTTCTTTCAATAGGTATTTTCTATTATATTATAATTGATATTTATTGTACCATTTAATATTAATTAAAAAATATAATATATATATATATATATATATAGATGATATTCATTGTTTATCAATTTTTTTAGATAATATATAATTGAATCTGACTAAAATTTTAATAAAAGAAAAGATAAATACTAAATGTATTTAACATTTTTTTTTCTCATTTTCTATAAGAGATCATGTATTGGAATCAGGTTATATTTATGTGTATATTATTTGAAAATTAATTTTTATAATTGATACTTATGTATTAGTTAATTAATAAACGTATAAATTTTTGTTAAAAAAATATTTAATACTAATTAAAATCTGAACATATATATATATATATATATATTGGTTAATGAAAAAATATTTGAATTAATGGGTAATTAATCAATAGCTATAATATGATTGCAGGAACTAAATGGGAAAATTTCAGTAAAGATGGTTGAATTGATGAAGAAAATCACATTAAGAGTTACTTGCAGTTTGCTGTTTGGATTGGATGAAGACAAAGAGAAAGATGAACTATCCATGGATTTCACAACTCTCCTGCGAGGTGTGTGGTCTTTCCCTATAAATTTTCCAGGGACGACATGTTGGAAGTCAATGAAGGCTCGACGTAGGATCGTTAACAAGCTCTCGAAACTCGCTGCACGGAGAAGGATAGATTTGGAAGAAGGGAGGTTAAATTGCGAAGCAGATGTTATCAGTTGTTTGGTTTCCTTGAGAGATGAGAATGGACATCCATTGTTAGAAGAGGAAATTGTTGATAATCTACTTTCATTAATGAGTGCAAGTCATGATACAATTACTGTTCTTCTAAGCCTTTTTATCAGACATTTAGCAATAGATTCCACCGCTTATAACAAAGTACTTAAAGGTAATAAATATTATATAATAATATATAATTGTTAATTAAAATTGATTAAGATTTGATTAGGGTAATAATTGATTGATGTTGTCTTTGAATTTGGGCAGAGCAAATGGAAGTTGCCCAAGCTGTAGAAGCTAATAATGGAGAGAAGCTTGGAATGAGGGAAATCCAAATGATGAAATACACATGGAGTGTAGCCCAAGAACTCATGAGACTTACCCCTCCTGTTTTCGGCGGCTTTAGAACTACTTGGAGAGACACCAGCTTTGGTGGCTATGACATCCCCAAGGGATGGAAGGTATTTATTTATTTATACATAACATCTAATTCAAATACATAAGCACACTCTTACAAAAATAAATGACCCGAGTTTGAAGATTAGAACTATTCGTTATTGATTGTAGGTGCTTTGGGTGGCTTCCGGAACCCATATGGATGAAAATTTGTTTCAAGATCCCAAAAAATTTGATTCATCACGATTTGAGGGTTCAGTAAAATCTGTACCTCCATACACTTATGTTGCATTTGGAGCGGGTATGAGATTTTGCCCTGGCGCAGATTTTGCTCGGATTGAAGTACTACTTGTAATTCATCATTTAATAAAAAATTACAAGTGGACTCAACTTATTCGAGACGAGCCGATAATTCAAGATCCATTGCCTTATCCCGCAATGGGTCTTCCAGTCAAGCTTTGTCCCATAAATACCTTATAGAGATATCCAAATCTTCGTCAAATAAAATGCTTTTAGCTGTCACTTTGAGTTTCATGTAATACATAATATATCTTTCTTTGATGATACTAGAGCATATGTAAGACATCTAACTCTATAATTTAACTTTGAAAAATAACATATTTTTGAACGTAATCTCGTACGATTTGAAATGGTAAACAAACATTGTCAGATGACTAAAGACATATCTCTACTTGAGTTATTGATGTCAAAATCTTGATTGTTAGAATTGCTTTCTACAATATTCTTTTTAGTAGTTTAGTTTTATGCCAAAAAAATATTTATTTTCCTTTGCTACTATTTTGATACTTTTGTTTGTGTTTTATTTAAATTTATCATATTCTCATTCTATTCCTAAATTTTAATTCTCATTCATATTATTTAGAATTGAAATTTAAACTAAATTAAAATTTATTTTCCCTAATATTCTACCTCAAATTTGCATAATCAATGTATCTAAATTAAAGTGAGTTAGTTGTAATACATATTATCATAAATGGTAACAAATAAGTTATTTTAATTCTCACTAAGGACGATAAAAAAATATGGTATGCCAAAATCATATGTTCTGTAAGAGATTGTTGCAAGTTATAATTTAATCTAAATAGGATTGAAACAAATTATATAAGATTTTTTTAAAATTGATTAATCGAAATATGATAAATTTGGATTTAAGTACTAAAAATCAGTCTGAATCTAACTCAATACAATATAAATATATGCTATAAAATATTATAAATTTTTAGGTTTTTAAAAAATTAAATATGTATAAAGATTGACTAAAGAGGAAACCTGAAAGAACCTTAAAATTAAAAAAGCGCAAATGTTCTCCACAATAATCTCCTTTCTCCATCTTCATGCTCAGCTTCTTCAGTCACCTCCTCACTAGTCCAATGTGTGTGACTATTCAACAGTAAGCCAATAACACTGGGAATTTATGACAACTGAAATGTCACTCAACATCTTCAGATTTACAACTTTGCTCAAAGACATTTTCATCTTCTTGTTCTTTGGCTTCTTAGCTTTGCTAGGACAATGCAGAATAGGTAAAATCTGTTGCTCAACTTAATTTTTGCATGTATATACGAGCAAATTTACTATTTTTAATGAATTATGAACTATAGTCACATAGTATATTTTTATGTTGTGGATAGGTTGAAGCCAAATGAAATTTTCTTGTGAATCCAATTTACATAAAACTATATCCTTAATGCACATTGTCCGCTAGGGCTAGACAAGTTGCAATTCACCAAAAACCTTAAGGGTTCTAGAAAATGTGTTTTTTATTGATTCTGAGTTTGAGATGGTTTGAGGACAATTTGTTATGTAGTCGAGATAAGTTAAGCTTCAGTAAATCTTGCCCTGAATCTTGCTCCATTATCATCCCTAATTCCTACTAGATAATAGAAACAAATTATTTACTAATAAGATGGTTGGCACTTTCCCCACTTTCTTTGAAGATATGAATTCCAATCTTTTACTGTGTGCTTTTTATCATAGAGTAACAAGAGAAAGACAAAACCAATTAATTTACTTCAAATGGGTAACAAATATAGAAAATGATAAGATGAAATTAACATACAGTTTTAAAAACTATCTTTCATTATTATGTGTATATTTGGTTTATCTATATATAATAAGATCGATAATTAATTAATTCTAGTCACTTCTTTTTCCATGAATTGGCGCATGCCACATGCCTCGTCCCCCAATTTGTAAATGTGTGATTGGTAACATATGAGTTCTTGAACTTATTCCAATCATGAATAATAACCAATAGATCAGCCACCTTGGCACCGATGGTGCGACAACAATTAGCGTGAATGGTGGTGACAGCTTTGGCATCCTTGCTGTCCTGGCAAAACCCACTGAAGAAGAGTGTGTTGAGGAACCTAACCTTAAGCCCTAATCGTTTAAAGACACCTTCATGCATCATCACCTCCAACACATCTTGCTCTTTTAGATCCTTACTGTTGTTTCTTCTCTCGTACCAGGAATCAAATAATGAAATTGTCTTGTTATTAGATTTCACCATGTAAAATCCAGTGTTTATGGGGTTGGCTTCGGACCACTCATCACCATTGAATCTATCAACGCTGATATGAAGATCAGTGGCTTCATTCACGTTCAAACTTAGCTTTGGGAATGGATTCCTTAGCCATAATACATCAGTATCCTGTGTATTACAACATTTGAAAATTGTAAACTTTTTATTTATTTATTTGTAAACTGAAATTAGAATTAAATATTATAAAAATAAAAAAATTGTATAGAATGGTATCTAAATTTCAATTGTTGACAAATTGAAATGGTCAATGAAATTTGTGGGTAAATAGTGAATATATATAACAATTGTATACTGGAATATCAAGTAATCCAAAAAAAAAAGTATTAATTGTAAAATTAATGAATTTGCCACAACAGGAAATTCATATTTATTACATATTAATTAATATTTATTAATAATCAATTAAGTGAGCAGCTTGTAGAGTGGGGTTGTAAACCAGAACGAGACTAGTAGTATCCCCCCAACAAACAGGGAAACTCATATGCCTAACCAACCTAATTAATCAAATAACAACACAAAATTAACCAAACTCAGATGTCATAATCTCATCCTACCGTCTCTCCTCCTTTGTTTATATCATAATCTATTTTTGTTCATGTCGTGAACTTGAAAATATAAGGAAATGTATACGCAGTACGTTTGAAAAATTGTTTTATGCTGATGCAGTATTGTATTTCTAAAGCTAGAATAAGTTTATATTTTTAAAAATCAAAATATGGAAAATTATGGACTGAAATTTATTTGATTAGGTAATAAAAATGCGATATATATGAAAATATAATAATTACATAACAATCAACACATTAATTAGGTTACCTTACCGTGAATATGAAATGATAACCACGTTTGACTACGTCCCCAAGGAAAAGAGTTCTTCTCCACATCATTTTGATAAAATCACCCGACATGTAAACTTTCTCTCCATCAAAATGATCCGAACCGTCGGTTTCCAGTCTGTAACAGTGTAGCCGGAGAAACTTACATCTCTCGTACGCCGTCCGATCAACGGCCACAATCAGCAGGTGATCAACCAGTCCCCGTGTATCTTCGCCGAGCCAGAAACCATCGAGGAAGAGATCAAGCATCGGCTTATCTCCCTCTACGTAAGCTCTGTTTACTATCGCAATTATCAGAGTCCTGTTCTCCGTCGACGCCTTCGCCAGCGCCACGTCCAGCTCGTTCTTGTAACCTGTAATTAAATTCACCTGTGTAAAATAAATATTAGCAAAAGTTTAATTTCATATTATATATATATATGATAAAAGTAAATGATGTAAAGGAATTAAAGTCGATCGACTGCGTGCAATTTAATTGATTACAGAGGTTGAATGTTGGCAATTGGAGCGTCGATCTGGAAAGAGGAGTGAAGAAGTAGTTCCAGGCCGGTCAAAGAGGAAGATATAGAGTAAGCCGAAGAAGATAAGAGTGAAAATAGCAATGTAGGTGGTTTTATCTCTGAGATTGTCCATGGCAGTGGAGAGGGAATTGGGGAGGGTTTTTCTGAGAAGAAGCGTTTGGAATTGTGAATGAAGTCGAAGAGTTAATAGAAAATCTTAAAAATTCATGCAAACTCGGTATATATTTAAATAGCCGTTTTATTGCCACCATTGGGTCTGTGTTTCGACTTTTATCACTGATATTAATAGAAGAAAATATATTTAATTTAATAGTTTATTGTATTTTTTGGCCTTTTATTATCTAACTAATTAAATATTCATTTTATTTTTTTTTGTCACTAATTTATAATATATATTATAAAGTATGTATTGCAAAAAATAAATAGTTTAAAAATACTTATTTATCCCAAATATTATGTAGTTCATATTATTTATATATAATTGAAATTTATTTTAGAAATTAGTTATTATCGTATCAATTAACCGCGACACATAAGTTTCAAATAATGAAATTATATCTTGTTAAAAGATTTACTGCTTATCTAACTAAAACCTATTTTCTAAACTAATTTTTCTACTGAAACTAAAACTAATTAGTGTAATCAAAATATTATCTAAACAACTAGAGAAATATTATTGAGACATGTATATATTATGTTTTCATTAAGTGTATAACTAAAATAAAATTTTTAAAGTGAAAAATTACCTTATTTACTATTCAACTAAGAGAATATTTGATATTGCTTAAATAAGTATTATTAAAATAATATAATCATTGACAACGTATATATTACCAACATATATATATATAAATATATTTGTGTTATATATATATAATTTGTAACGTTCGGATTCAAAAATTTAATCCGGGATAATTTTTTAATTAATAATAATATATATAAATAATTTAATTTTGTGAAATTTTTTTTGAAAAAAAATAGAATTAAGTACGAAATTAAAAATAATTCTAAAAAAGAGGCGAAATTATGAATAAGTGAAAGTGTTTTTTTTTTAATTTGAAAATAGGGGGTACAATTGCAAAAAAGGAAACTATACCCACATGGGACAGTTGTGACAGCAGTCATGGCGAATCAGGACACGTCCCATGGCAGACACACTCACATCAGCTCCACGTGGGAGGCCACGTAGGCAATCTGCGTGCCTGGGCGATCTGACAGTCCAGATCATATCATGTGCGCATGAATAACCCGGATCTATTTCTCATTCAGACGCGATCAGACGAATGAGATTGATTGTGATGGACGGTCCTGATTTGCACACGAGATTGTCATAAACAAGTAATCATCGAACGGTTCTCCTCGTTCCACATCGGCTAGAACGGACGGCTTGGATCGAATGAAAATGAGTATTTAAACTCCTATTCACAGGGAACCGAAACCCTAGCCAACAGAGGAGTGATCAGAGAAGAAAAAGAAGGGCGACTGAGGAAAGAACTAGATGTTAGAGAAAGACATCAGCCACCATTCCCGCCGCACCAGAGCCACCGTCGATGCCGAAACAGGTATTCTTTTTCCCTTCCCACTCGGAATTTAATTTTGAATCTCTCTATGCCCATATCGGAGTCAAAAGGGCGACGGGTGAGCTGAAAAATACGAGTGAAGCTCGGCCGAGCTGTCGCAGCCAAAACCCAAAATCCTCTCCGATGACCCCCTTTTAGTTTTCTGCTTTATATGATTTTTTGACCGTTGTGTTATCCATCCTTTTCTGGTGTAGGTCAGTCGAAGAGGAACCTCGGCTGCGAAGGAAAAATGGCAGAGCCACCGTACCCAGAGACCCTCATATTGGTAGGGTTCCAATTTTTGCCTATTCTGACCAATAGAGGCCCCCTAACTTGGTTTTTCATAGGTTTAAGTGCAAAATCGGCCAAAACTGGTAGAAAATGGCCAGATTGAGGGGAACCACCACCGTGGGGGACGGAGCCGGCGCCGAACCACTGGGTAGCCGCCGTGCCGGAACCCTAAAATTGGCCATAAAAGTTTTAAAATTCCTATTTTATCTTTTTGAGATATTTTTGGATACGTGACGGGTATTTTTAATTTTTGCAAAAAAAATTCATGAAACTCGGGGATCGCTAGGAGGTACAGTAAAAAATACAGTATTTCGAACGCCGATCCAAAGTAAGAATCCCTTACTATTTTCCCTATTATGATAAATTGAAGCTTAATAATCATTAATATTGTGTTTTGTGAAAATTAAAAAACCTTAAAATAAATTACAGGTTACTAGTGGAGTCGGAACGGGTCAGTGCATATTTACCCTGGTTTATTGTTTATTTTCTCATATACTGTCTAAAATGCTTATTGTTATATTATGTATTTTAATTTACTAGTTTTAATTATTTTCTCGGTTATTTAGTTTACCTAACTATGTTGCCCTCATCTGTTGATTCGTTTGCAATAAATGACTTAATCATGTTGTGACACCCTTAAATGGTTTCTACTATAAGATTATATATTATTCATTCTTTCACCCCAAACGAGATATTTATAGTTCTTCAACTAAATTACACCTATCCATTAGTTCAAAAAGAAATCAATTCTCGTACAATGAATAACTCTATAATCAAAGAAACTATTCAACTATCACCATACATATAAAAGTTCCGACACTATTCCAATATTGTAAGTGTACTACTATGTAACGGCCCCGGAAATTAAAAGGAAACATATATATAAAAATTCTAAGTGTGGAAGCAAAACAAAATATTATGATTAACATCCCTTATACAATAACCAAAACGTATTAAACGTATGAAAGAATAAGCTAACTAAAGTAAATACTAGAAATAAATACTGTAAGGAAAACTATAAAATCTTTAGGTATCTACTCGCCGTCTTCCTGCGGAACGGGCTCAGGAACCAAGTTCTCCTGATCTGAAATAGTTAAGTAAGGAATGAACTACACTAGCCCAGTAAAGAGGTCACACTATCTCACTATCATAGAAGTAAAGGTTGGTAGAAAACAAAAACAACCAATGGAACATAATTTATAACAAATTCATTTATCAATGATAAAACCCTTTACTGTCCACTTATCTCGGTGAGATTCATGAAAATAATTTATGAAAACAATAACATTATAATATCATGAAATCATACGCACTCTATAACATAACACATGTCATACTTTGAATATTTCAATCATCAGACAATAAATTTCTTCTTTTATCAACCAACCAGTATTCATGGGGATCCATAGGGGTCCCCATTACACGTAAACTATTCACTTTAACAACTTAATTTCAGGGCCGTCCCCATACCTCGTCTGGTATAGGCGCCAAAACGATAAACCTCAATACCATATCCGGTATGAGGATGAAGCGGGCCGTCCCCATACCCCGTCCGGTATGAGCGCCAAAACATTTAAAGTCTCCATACCCCATCCGGTATGAGAGACAACATTCCCGGTAGGGTTCCCTATGGACCCGTTATGTCTACCATCTCCCAAGATATCTAGTGAGACTGTCGACTTATCCATTTATTAATTCATATACATTTTCTATTCTTTTCTTAGTTTTATGTTTCTCACATAGTCATGAATATTTACACTAGTAGCGAGCACCCAACAATGTAGGCATATCATCGGATTCACAAAATCAAGCCATAATGAAGTAAAAAGTGATTCATGCATTCAAAACCATATAATAAATAAATCAGATACCAAATGTATTTAAAACTGTAAAATAACTTAAATAGCAACTGACCGAAAATATATCATATTTGGGCCCATTAGCAACCTTAATTAATTATACATATCTATTAATTCATAAAATACTGTTTAATTCATTTATTAAACTTTAATGCCATGATAGAAAATAGGGTGAGTGATCCTTACTTGATTTGAAATCTAAGACCGATTTTCACTGCGCCTACAGGCGGTCCCTAGATTTCCTGAATTTTTTCCCCGAAAACTGAAACACACTTCCAGTACCTGCACATGTCCCCAAAAAAACTCCAAATCAGACCTGAGGCCTACTTGGCCAAATTCAGAAATTCTGGCACAGCAGCTCCGCCGTGCTCCAACGACGGCGCCGCCGTCCGCGGCGGTGATCCGCCTCGGGTTGGCTGTTTCTGGCCGAATTCAGCTAAAATAGCACTAGTTCCTGCGAGAAAACACATGTAAGACCCTCGGTGGGCCGAAAAACTAAAAAAACTAAGACTTACCGGCGGTGGAGCTCTCGGGTACGACGACTCCTTTGGCGCGAGTCACGATTTGGTGTTTTGTTCTGATCAACCTGTAGAGGAAAAGACGGTGATCACAGTGGTGTAAAAATTACATTGAACGGGAATCGAGAAGAGCCTCATCGAAGGCAAAAATTGAGGAAATCCGCAGCATCGCTGCTGGGCTTCGGCGGTATTTTTCGGCCAATTGGCTGGTGGTTTGGCTCTGATTTGGCCACAGACGGGTTTAGCATCGAAATCTGAGCCAAAAGAAAAATTTTTACCTCGTTTGGCGACCAAAAAGTGCTCAGGTGTGGCGGTGGGTGGCGGCAGTCGGTTCCTCCGGTGGCTGGGCTGTCTTCTCCGGCGAGGGCTCTGGCGGCTAGGGTTTGGGGTTGGGTGTGGATGAGATTATTTATAACCTTCCCCTTTTAATTTGAGTCGTCTATCACGATTTAATCTGTACCGTCCGATCGTGATTAAATTAGAAATGAATCTGTACCGTCCATCGTGATGTGATCTGGGCCGTCCATGCGTGATTCAATTTGAGCCATTCGCACGCGTTTGATCTGGACCGTCCGCTCGTGCGTTTGATCTAGGCCGTCCGTACGCGCGAGAATGAATCTAAGCTTTCCGATCGCGCGCACGCGGGTCGCCCACGTGGCTCCGTTCTGCGTTGCCTCCCGCGTCAGCATCTCTACCACGCGGCGTGTCCTGGTTGGTTGGGGCTACTGACCGGGCTGCTAACGTGGCTGCTGACGCGGCATAATATTTTTAAATTGCGTTTTGACCCCTGATTTCCGATTTTCTTTTCAAAAACACCAACAGAATCCGAATTTTCACCCATTTTTCCCAAAATTATTTTCAATTAAACCCCAAAAATAATTTCACCCATTTTTATCATTATTATTATTTTTATTTCTATTTAATTAAATTAAACTAAATTAAAACCATATATTATTACTTAAATAATCATTTATTTCATTTAAAATTTACAAAAATTTAAAATAAAACAAAAAATAAAATTCATAAAAATAATAATAAAATTTTGGGGTGTTCCAACTATTAAACTAAATTAAAATCATATATTATTACTTAAATAATCATTTATTTCATTTAAAATTTATAAAAATTTAAAATAAAACAAAAAATAAAATTCATAGAAATAATAATAAAATTTTGGGGTGTTACATACTATATCTCATCGTGATTGATAACATCTTGCTACTCTTAAGCCCGATACTCTGTTGTTAAGCTCCCCATTTTCGGTTCCTGCATTAAAGCATCTAAAATGAGAGTAATGAGTACGCATAACCCAATAAAATGAAATTTGGAACCAAATTAATGAATGACAATTAAATGACTTCCATCCTTACTATCATTTTCCTTATTTCTATCATTTAGTTTTCCTCCCTTGATAACTATTAAATAACAACACTACTCCCTCCTAATCCCACCTAACCCCTTACTGCTAGCCCCTCGTTCTCCCAACCACATAACGGACTCGCACTCTACTACTTTGTTTTAACCACAGCACCATACTGACTTGACACCATTCCAGTAGTCCCTACACCACACCTAAACACCCTCTCAATCCACCCCACCTCTATCATACCTCTCATCAAACATCAGTCCACCAAGACCAC